TTTATTACTGCCATAGGTCGGATTCCGGCGCGAGAGCGGAGCTGAACGTGGGACTTTGGCTAGAGCTGCGTCCGTGTTCATGTGAGATTCAGACGTGGACGTGGTGGGTCTTCTCATTTGTTTTATTGCTTTTTTTAGAAGCGATTCAATCAGCAGTAAGCATTAGCTGTGGAGTTGAAGTGCCCTTTTGGGTCGCTGATAAATCAAGATGGGGCCCGGCTCTATCAAAATATGTATATCGTCCATTACAATGCACATTCATTATTTCGATTTTAAGACGCACGAACCGGCTCCCGTTTCTCATGCAGTGATAACAAGAAATAGTACGTGCCAATGCACGTACGTTAGGCATCATCTCGACAAAAAAGGTATCTGTGTCGGACCACTGGACATTGCCCGTCAATAGACTTTAGTCGTCATTCGTTCGACACAAAAAAGTGCAGAGAGAGGCGTCAACAAAGGACATCAGCCAGTTTCCCAAACAGTTGCCTCAATTTGTTGTACAGAAAAACACGAAATGACATCATTGTGGCCTAGCACGCAACCAGACTTTTTTTAGGAGTACGTTGTTGTGTTGACATGAAGCGGAGAAATCCAACAAGACACGTTTGAAATCTGAAATCTTTGTTTGGTGGCGTACAACATAAGCTTTTCTAACAGCGTGACACAGCGAGCCTGCATAGATGTTTATTCGTTTGTGATCCGCGCTCGCTGAGCTTAATAACGGGTACAGCCAGAGTAAGAAAATAATGTGGCGAATGCTCAGCTTCTAGCATTTGGTTCTAATACAAAATATTTGCTTCGTGACGTACTTAAAGTTGCCATTTAAATTGGAAACGACGACGGTGACTGAAACCCGGTCTGTCGAAATTCCGGATCTCACAGTGGACAGAAATTTTATCTTTCAGCCACGGATGGACCAACTGAGAGCGAAGTGTACTGAGACGTTGTTCGCTCTCCATTCACACCAGCCAGCTGGTTCCGCGCTGTGTGCTGCGACAAGTGGTGGAAGGACGCGTGTTAGCCGCAGTTCGCTTCGGTGTATCCATTAACGGAATCTGCGGCACCACACAACTTAACGGAGTACAAAAACGTGCCCGTCTGTGCCCCCGTGTAATGCCAGGTAGAAGTGTGATCTATGTGCAGAGAAAGTAGCACGCTTAGGAGTTTTGTGAACGCAAGATCTACGAAAACTTCACCATTTCGGTCACTTCATAAACACGCGTCACGCTTCAAGGCACGTGCATCGTCTGCCCGGAGGTGATCAGCTGATTTGATTGTACTTTATTGTGCTGGCCCGTGAGTTCTAAGCTGGTTGAATTGTGAAAATAGTTTGTTTGTCTTCTCCCAGTTACGTTTTTATTGATCTTGCTGCGGTTCATTAAAAGCGTGGAAGTATTCGAGGATGCAACCGCAATAAATTGAAATAAACCGAACTTTCAAGGCGCTGAGGGGCATTTTAAGAGCTGCATCACAATGGACAGCGCAGTAAAAATCCTTCGTGCATACCATGCAGCTTGTTAAATCTACGCCGACGTAGCCAACACATTGGAGACTCGATGTGAAACTAGGCGCCTGAGCGCCAGACCTCTAAATGAATACCCAGTCCGGCGTCAGCGTCCGACCCTCTCCCATATCATCCGTCGCTCGCGAGCAGTAGACGTTCAGTGCCTTTCCTAGCTGTTTACATTTTGTGCTACGCGGTCGGGTCGCTGTGACGTCACTGCAGGGACCACCCGTTCTCGTAATGCTGAGGCGCCGGCGTGGGCTGCCTGCTGCAGAGCATCGTTTCTGGGATAGGGGTCTCCCGTGTATTCCTCGCTGGTGTGGTGCATTCTCGCAATCTTCGTGAAGTGCGAAGGAAGTGCGAAATACGTCGGTTTTTATGATTGTTGGAGCATGTTGCGTGCCTTTCAGACGCGGCCAGCCAGATGACGGACCCGTTCCAGTTTTTCATGATGCGACCTTTGCAAAAAAATGTATTTACGCATGTGGTGCACACGCAATCATCATCCTCATGAAAGAATGTAGACAATTTTTGAAAGGACAGTTCATTATCCTGATCTTTTGAAAGGACAGTTCATTATCCTAGTCTAAAGCAAAAAAAAAACTTCTGGCAAGCACTGACGCAATATGTCAAAGATCAATGTGTTTCCTGGCCAATGATGAAATCATTGCTTTTTCATCGAGTCGATGACAGCCAGCGTTGCTCCGAGTATTTATCCGATACGTACCGCAATGCCCTTGCCACATCGTCGGGCGGCGTACTTTGCACCACCTCGACCTGGAGGCGGCCTGTGACGGACGTTCGCGCCGCTGCCGTGAGCCGGGGCTTTGATGACGGAATTCTGATGGTGCTAGATCTCGAGGGCGTCTAGAGCACGCACCAGAACCCGGTCAGCGGGCCCCGGTGATGGTCGATGGGTGCGGAGGACGCCGGCGGCGGTGGCGGCCCGCCGGGGTCGGTCCGGCCGCCCGCGCCGCCAGGTCGATGCCGGCCGCCGTCAGCACTCGGCCGCCGTAATAAGATCCTCCCAGTCAGCGGCGGAATCGTCGTCATCGTCTCCGACGGGCGTCCGCCGGAGACGGCGCGGGGCTCGCTCAACAGGCGCGGCCGGTGCCGGCGGGCGGGCCGGCGCGGTACGCCGCCGGCCGCGGCTGGGAGGGTGCCGAGCTCAGCCGTGCTCCGACCGCCAGCTGGGGTCGTGCCCCGGCAGCAGTGCCGTCCCCGCGCCG